AAATCCTACCCTTCAAAGATCTTAGGTCAAGAATTTCCTCTTATAGTCACTATATATGTCTCAGAAAAGAAGAGGTATTGAGTGTCCCCTGCAGTATACATTTTAGTACACTGTGCAGGATGAGAGTGGTATCTTCAGAAAGTCTTCAGCTTCAGCAGTCCTGACTATTACTGAAGCCTGAATGCCAGAGGGATGAGAGACAGTTGAGGATCAGCAATTAAAACATGCTTGTTCTTTAAAACTCAACTTAGATTTTACCCATGGAGAAACTTCCTTATAAAAGAAAGAAATAATCTAATGTTGTTGTTGTTGTTATATGCTGTTGCATTGTCTGCAGTCCATAACGACCCTATGGACAGCAGCTCTGAAGCCTGCCCTGTCCTGAGCCAGTCTCACTAACTCTGACACACCAACCCCCATTGCTCCGGTTACTGTATCAATCCATCTCATCTAGAGTTTTTCTCACTTGCGCTGTCCCTCCACCCTTCTGAGCACGGATGTTCTTCTCCAAGGACTGGTCTCTCCTGGCCACGCGCCCAAAATATGTGAGATGAAGCTTCAAAATCCTAGTCTCCAAGACAGACCTATTTGATTTCTTGGCAGACAACTTCTTTTTCCATAAAGCATCATTTTAATGCCAGATCTACAACTATAAGTAAGTAAAAGGTCCCTCTCTATAAAATGATACTTTATGGGGGGAAATGATACGTTTATACCACTAATGTTAATTTTGCAAAGCACTTCTGGAAAACAAAAATAAAGTGGGAGGCATAGCACTCTCTGACCTCCAAATATGCTACACAGTGGTAGTAACCCAAACAGCATGGTACTAGTACAATGACAGGCACATAGACCAGTGGAACAGAATTAAGAGCCCAGAAATGGACCCAAATAGTCAGCTGCTATTTGACAAAGAAATAAAACTTATCAAATGGGGAAATAACAACCTCTTCAGCAAATAGTGCTGGCAAAACTGGACTGCTACCTGCAGAAGGCTAATATAGGATCCACATCTCACACCACACATAAAAATCTACTCAAGGTGGGTCAGAGACCTGAGAGTAA